AGCTTGTATGGTTGCTTGAACTGAATCCTTTTCCAAAACCGGCTTGCTCTCTTGACTGATAATTATCTAACTTAGTTGTTAATCTGTTTGTTAGAAGTTTAGTTAACAGTTTGTACGTTACATTAAGTAGCGTTATGGGCCTATAGTTTTCCAGATCTTTTCTATCGCCTTTCTTAAATAGTAATAGTGTTATTGCCTCGTTCCATGTGGTGGGCATTTCTTTGTGTTCAATATTTTTTTTATTAGTACATAAAGGACTTCCACTGTAGTTTTCCCCCCATTTATTAGCATTTCCACAGTTATTCCATATTTCCCAGGAGATTTGTTAATCTTCATTTCTTTGAGTGCCTTTTTTATTTCATTTTTACTGATTTCTTGTTGTAGGTAATTTTAAGTTGTAGTTCTTTTTTATAGAGTTGTATAATATTCATGCGTTATCTGTAAAATTTCTTTTATATTGTTGCTCTCCACTCCTTCTTTGTTCTTTATGCTATTAATTTGTATGTTTTCTAGGTTCTGCTTTAAGCACTTTATATTTCTATTTTTTTTAATTTTTTTCTCTATCTTTTCTTCCTATACTCTCCGTTTACACTCCTTGATATTTTTTCTAATAGTTTTGTTTATTTCTTTGTATTCAATTTTATTTCTGTCCCTTTGTGCTAGTAATGTTCTTGTGTTCATAAGAATCTTTGTTTCCTGAGATATGAAACTTTTTTTTTTGTTGTTGTCTGTGTTATTTCTTTACCCACTTTCATACGTACGTCTTCGTACGTCTGTTTTTCTTGTTTTAGTTTTTCCATGCTAATTTCTGATTATTTTCCATTTTCTTGTTTCAAATCTACTATCAATGCTCAGCTTGGCTCGGACTAGTCTTTGGTCGCTACCAGTTGAGAAGCAATTTAGGGCTGTTACGTCTTTAACCAAGGATTTTTGCGTTGAAAGAATATAATTAATTTCGTTTTTAGTTTCACCACTGGGACCAATCCATGTCCATTTTCTTTGGGATTGTTCCCAAAAGATTGTATTGGCAGAGTGTCAATATTATTTTTAAATACCGACATCGCCGCTCTAACCCTACTATTATTAAACCTTTTTTTTGTGATCGAGCACCCCTAACTTCGTGAAACAAATTGTCGATTGTCTTAAAAACAAATGACTGCTTCCGGTGTATGTGTGTGGGTCTGAGGGTTTATAATGTAACATCCTTTTTATGTTGTTATGGGAAGCATCCGATACAGCTTAGTTGTGTTTAAAGAGAAGGGAAAAGGGTGTCTTTAATTTCGATTTTCCAAACTGTTCTTTCATCTTATATCAAAACTGTTGTTGGGAATAAGTCACGAAATTATAAAACTAGTTTTGAAGTAAATACTTATCGCTCGGAATGATGTTCTTGCGCGGGTCCGAAATAGTATTTCGTGTGACGCGAAATATCGAGACACGTGCAATAACCATGCGGTATACAGAGAACGTCGAGAACGACTGGATCGGTTTGGCTAATTTTGATTTTGAAATTTCAAAGTACAAATCCAAGGAAGGCCTACAATTTTTCTAACTTTTTTGGATATTCTGTATCATTATGGAGTTATCGACAAGTATTACACTAAAAACTCACCCTGTATATCAAAATAATGGGAGAACAAGTAGACGAAATGGAGTCAAAATAGGCCTATTAGACACGAGAACGGTAGACGAAAATGGAGTAGATGAAACGAAGGAAAAAAATAGAAACTATCACAGAAGGAGAAGTCCTTTTAATAATGTAGAGGAGAGGCTCGTACCTTGGGCCAGCTTGTACCATGAGCCACCCCATTTTTTTTTTAAATTTGGCGCGCAAACTCTCTCTGTTTCTTATGTCAAACTCTTCTACAATCGTCGTCATTATATGGTTAGTTGTTGAACGTCACCAGAAATCATTTGCGGCTGTTTTAAAAATATAGTGAAGTATTTTGTGAAAAGTAAGTTTTTATAGGATAGATAATTTTCTTTTTTAATTTTTGTGTTAACAAATATGTTAAATTAAATAACAGGGTGTGTGTGTGTGTGCTTATTCTAACAGGTACTTAAACAACATAGTGAGAAATATAACAAAACAGTTTTTTAGGTTGAATTCATATTCGTTTTCTTCGACAAGAGAGAAAAAGAGCTCCGACAGATCATGAAAACCTATTAAAAGCATACAATGAAATTCAAGAAAAGCAAATATCGGTTCAATGAGCTGCAAAATAATTTCATGTGTCACGGACGACACTTCAAAGATTTTTGGTCCGTGGTTCCAACAATTTCCTCTCTTATGGTGCTTGCGCAGTCAGAAAAGTTTTTTTTTAACTTATGAGCAGAACGACTTAAGCCCACAATAAGCCAGTCCCACCGTCCTGGAATAATAATTATCGTGCCGGAAAACAGTGGTTCCTTGACTTTATGAGTCGCCATAAGCAATTTAGTTTAAGAAAGTCACAAGCCACTAGCCTCTCTTGCGGAACCAGCTTCAACAAACACAATGTGTCATTATTTTTTTCAAAATTAAAAGAAGTCAGGAATAAGGATACTTTCACACCCAGTAAAATATACAATATTGATGAGAGTGGTAACACTAATGTTCACGTTCCTGGAAAAATTGTAGCTTGCAAGGGTATTAAAAAAGTTTGTTCCAGTACAAGGGGAGAATGGGGTACTAATGTAACATTTATCGCTACTATACTTAAGTGCTTCAGGGAATGCTATCCTCCCTATGTACATATTTTCCATAGTGAATTTTAAGGCCTATATGTTCAAAAAGATGCACCTGCTGATTCGGTGGGAACGGCTCATCCTAGTGGTTGGTCCAATGTAGTCATAATATTCTTAGAATATTTAAGGCATTTTATACATATCACAAAGCCTTCCGTGGATGATAAAATAGTAATATTAGACCAGCATAAAAGTGATATTAAGCCCGAAATCATCAACTAAGCTGAAGAACATGGTATCGTAATATTGACTATTCTTCCTCATACAAACCAAAAGCTCCAACCCCTCGATCGCAGTGTTTTTGACCTATATAAAACTTTATTATAACAACGAGTGCACCAAGAAACCCAGGAAAACAAATATCTATTTACGATGTCGCTGATCAGGCATATAAACTAGCATTTAATCGCACAAATATTGAATCTGGATTCAGAGTTTCAGGGATCTGGCCAGTGAATGAAAATGTATTTCAAGATCATGAGTTCTATAGTTCTTTGGTCACTGATAGAGATAATCCTGCTAATATCAATGAAGACATTTATTTCAGACACCCTATTAATATTCATAAAATAACTGCTGAGACTGAAGAACCTGAGCTACCATACAAGTCACCAGAGGTAGTTCGGCCTTTACCTAAGGCACCTCCAAGAACAAACATACAAAAAGGTCGTAAAAGGGGCAAGTGTTGTCTTAACTGATACACCTGAGAAAAATGAAATAGAAAACGAGCACGAGGAAAGAGTGAACAAAAATATGAAGAAAACAGCTGTAAAAAAAGAAAAGTTATGGACACCCAACCGAGAAAGCATCATTTACCAGGCAATAAAATTAAAAAGACTGAACCAATATTTCCCCAATCGAAGGATCTCAACAATTCATCATCTTCTGACAACTACGACGTTGAAAGCATCCCTTACGATGATAGTTCGAATCCGTCCTGAGCATAGCATGAGTCAGACATAGATTGGAAAGGACATGTCTAAAAATAAGAAACAAGACACACGAACAGAGTTGACACAGAAAACTGGTAGATTCTACCCAACAAAGATTATTGGAAAGAAGATCTTACGATTTTATGATGCTAAAATAGTATCTTATTAACTCCAACCATAATGGTTAATTACCTGAAGAGAATCCGCTTATCTGAAAACTTCTGCCTGATTGATATAAAGGCATATGAAATCGAAGAGGAAATCATTGAATGTGTCGTATAAGTTCACAAGAAAGATGGATCCTCAAAACGTCAACAGGATATTTATACTTTTAACTTGGAATTTGAAAAGTATTTGGTTGAGTAAAGATTTTGCATTCGGTTAGGAAACCATGTTGGGGTTCTATTACCCAGGACCTCCACATGAAGAGCATTTGGCTGATTGTTGTGCCTCTATAGCGAATCAGATTTCTATAGGGGGGAAAGGGATGGTCTAGAGCATTGGAGCACTATGGGGTGACTCCTGTTTTTTACTCGAGTTAACACACCTTGCTCCAATGAATTGTTACACCCGATCGTACTACCTGGGTGAACATTTCTCATAGGCTGGGTTCAATCAAATTGCTTGCTTGCTTGTGAGTAAAGTTTACGTTATTTAAACTGTTTGTTCCTATGTTTAACAATAATAAATCATTGATTTATATTATTGGTAACTCATTTGCTTAAAATGGTCCTTATTCTAAACAAAACTTAATAAAACATATATTAAAAGGATTTTGTTCTTATGCACTTTAAATGTGTCTTAATTATTAAAATAAAAGGGAATTTTTTATTTTAAGAAACCAACTCATGTAATCAGTTGTTATTTTTATTTTACATACTACAATAATTTATATCTGCCCCAGTGTAAATTATTAAAATATAATTTCAATATTCTATTGCCTGTCCTATTGTATTGTAATAACTGTTTAAAAAAATCCTGCCCAAGGTACAAGCCTCTTCCCTACCTATTCTAACATTAAAGAATGCCCAACTTGTGGATGAAGTTAGTGTTTGATATAAAAATAAAATCTAGTAAAAAGCACACACAAAAATAGTTTTAGACAAACACCAGTATTTCTGTAAAAATGGTATGTAAAGATCAGAACTGATCAAAGAGCATCTTACGAAGATATTGGTATCTAATTAAAACTTATTAATAAAAATTAATGAAATTGGCTTTAAGCCTAGTTTTATAAACAAACATAATCTCTATAAATTTTAACAGAAGAATTTCTCTGTTTTCAAAAGTTTTAACAAACAACTTACATACAATTATTAATTACAACAATTTCAGCCTTACCTTGAACACAAGAGAGATAATCCAGAAATCAAGAAAACAATAATATAGTTCCCACAAAAATAAAACCACAAACACTTTTAAAAACACGTATGTCAACAAAGCTGCGGTTGCCTACGCATCACACAACCTCCCTCGGCAAACGATACAACGAAACTGATAAATGAAATGATGAACGTTGGGCATACGGCATACGAAAAAGCCTAGTGGTGGGTGCGCAACCGATGAGAAGGCAAGGAATGCTGAACATTGCACTCTCAAACGAAGTCGGTGCCTTATGTCGACTGGCTATTGTTTTTAGAAGACTGATTTCATTGTTTTTTGTTATTACTTTTAAAATTCCCACACTTTCCTTTCGCTTGGCTAATCGCTTTTGATATGAAGATATTAATTGTTGAATTTCTCAGCCATTGGGAAACGCTGTGTGAAAATGTTCCAGAAATATGTACCCAAAGCTGTCATAATAAATATACGTATATCTAATTAAATATAAAAGTTAGTCTCTTATATAAATATATTAGATACAGAGTATCAAATAAATTTTTGCGGGTATTTCCCACGTTTTATTTCCATTTTTATGATAGTTTTGTTAAGTTTTTTTAGAAAAGTTTCGCAACGTTCCTCCAGAGTGGAGGTAGTTTTAAAATTTCGTTAAAATTGAGGTCAATTATTCAAATTATTTAGGTATTCAGTTTTTAAATATTACCATTTTTTAACATGAGAATTAGGTAATGAGAAAATTAATAAAGCTGTGGCATATAAACCAGAGAACTAATGATTTTTAAATGACACTCGTTGATACAGGTATCTAAGAACTGCTTTTGATAAATTCGGTGATAAAAATATGTAATGAGCAAAATATGCAAAAGACCAACCGACACTTTATCCTTCTAAACAATATACAAACGATGTAAGATCGCTATTTGTTGTTAAATACTTAAGGTGAAGACCGGTAAATTTTTAGCCCTAGAGCAACAACGTGAAAGTAGGGTTACGTTCATCGAGCAAAAAGACAAAAGAGGGAATGTAAAGATAGTGGGGACAAAAATATTGTTAGACAAGAAGTGCTATCTTGAGAGGCCACTTTAAACAAGGAAAGACAGTCTCTTTCCTTGTTTAAGAAATGAAATTTAGTTTGGTTATGTTATTGTTTGTCCCAACTGTCACATGAAATTTTATTTATATTGAAGTTTTTTACCAATTGTGTCCCTTTTTAGACTATTATCGTTAATGTTTGATTAAAACTTTTTCGTCTGAAAAATATTTTATAGCTATTGTTAAGTGTCGGACAATTTAAATTTAGCGCCTTTGCATTTCCGGATGTGTCCGCCATCAGAGGCCACTTTTTTGGTCTCCTTTTCTTAACGATTAGATTCCCTCTTTTGTCTTTTTCCTCGATGGTTACGATACTAACAAGGTGGCATCGTATATGACTCCAAAAGAACTGGCCGTAAAGCATAACAAAAGTACATTATTTTAAAAATAAAGTGTTTTTATTTTTGGTTATAAACATATATATTCATAAATTTTATACAAAAATGTTTTTGTATAAATAACAAATCAGAAACTTGAAATAAAACTGGATAAAAGAATAAAAAATATTGACGATAGTTTTTTGACAAAATGCAACAACTGAACAAATATTTTTATATGTAATGACACATTTTTTTTATTTATTTATTTATTGCTAATTTACAATCTACTTCAATACAGTAGTAAGTAAATATGATGTATGTTCTTGGCTTGTGGCAGGTGTCGTCCATTGACTACTCTCTGGAATTTACCTAGCAGCTAGATCTTCTGGCCAAAGTCTTTTTAGACGCCTGTCAACCAGTGGGGGGTTGAATAATTCGTCTATGAGATGGTTTGGATGGTCTGCGCGATTCATCTATCTTCTGGATTGGTCAGCAATCACATTATTGATGAAGGGGATGTTGAGGTCTGCATGCAGGGTTTGGTTTGACACATACGATGGGGCTTTAGCTAACATACGCCTAGTTTTTGACTGGAATGTCTGCAGTATTTTGGTGTTTGATGGTTTGCTACAGCCCCACAGCTCAATTCCGTATGTCTACACTGGTTTGTGTACTGTTTTATAGATGGCTAGTTTGTTTTCTAATGAAAGTTACGATCTTCTGTTGATTAGCCAGCTCATATTTTTAACTTTTAGGTCCAGGTGTCGTCGTTTAGCTGCAATATATGATTTCCAAGTAAGTTTTTCGTCTAGATGCCTTGGCCCAGGTACTTGCCTTCTGTTTTTATTGGTATAGGTGAATTATTTAGGCGTAGTTGTCGACATCTAATTCTTCGATTTGTGAAATTTAATTGACAAGACATGTTTGTGTTGACGTTTATTTTCCAGCATTTAAGCTAGTCTTCTAGTTCATTGAGATGATTTTGCAATTTGTTAAATGTTAATATTTCATTGATATCTGATGCCAGTATACCACTGTCATCCGCAAATGTTGCCATTAGTTTATTTTCGCTAATAGGAATATCAGCAGTGAAGATTTGGTAAAGGAATGGGCCAAGTACACTGCCTTGAGGTACTCCGGGATTTTTTTGGTGGTAGTTGGATAGAGTACCTTCGTATTTTACTTGGAAGTATCTGTCGAATAAATATGATTTAAGGAGGAGGTAGATTTTGTCAGTTAGCTGAGTTTTTATTTTAAAGACCCTCGTGCCACACTCTATCAAATGCTTGCTGTATATCGACGAATGTTGATAGATTTGTTTCCCTTCTAGGCTCTCTTTTATTTTGTTGACTAATCTATGGCTGTTGTATGGTTGAGTGATTTGAGCGAAAACCAATCTGGAATAAGGTTTTCTATAGGTATTGTAATGACACATAACAAACCAAAGGATACACTTTTATAAACAAAAAATAATTTACTTGCAGTGCTCACATTTATCGCGCGCTTTTTGGTTTTTGCTTCTTGGACAAAAGTCACAGCGACCCATTGAATCTTGAGGCTTTTGTTCTATTATTTCTTCATCTTTACAATTTAAAATGTCTGATACTGCTGCGGATTTGTCTTGGCAAGTGATTATTATACATTCGTTCTTTTAAACAATCTTTAACCAAAATGAACCACAGCTTCTTTAAAAATTTTGATCGAGACAGTGGTTTAATAACATTTAGTGTATGTACGACATGATTGTTGACTCCTGCAATATCGAACATGCCATAGAAAATTCGCAATGGCCATCTGCAAGTTTTTCTGGCGACCGTTGTTAAATGGCAGAGTTGATCAAACGTATCTATAGCATATACACCACCTTTTGTACTATTGTAGAACAAGATTACCTCTGTATTTTTCGATTCTTCATCTACATTATCTTGAGTATGCATAGACGATAAAAGAATGACGTTTTTATTTATTTTTTTTTTTGAACGAATGACACTAAAGAGTTTTTCTCATCAAAAGCAAATAGAGATTATGAAACTTGTTTTCCTTTTGTTTCAATTAGTTGTCGTGGTATTTCTGGCTTGTTTTTTCTAAGTGTTCCCACTACAGTAAGGCCTTTTTCTTTTAATACTTCCGATACTTAATACGAAGTGAACCAGTTATCCATGGTGCAATTCATATTGGTTCCATATACAAGTATATCACTTTTAAGATGCAGTATATATTGTGTTGAAATTGAATATTGTGAAGAACGGACTTTATCTAAGTAAGGCTTGGCTGAACACATGTAATATGTCTTCGCATTACACATTGTTACTATTTTGAGCCCACATTTGTCAGGTTTATTAAGAATGTACATTTTAAATGGACATCTAGCTCTAAAACCTAACAAACTTTCATCAATGGTGACATATTCGGACGGAGTGTACATCTGTCTACACCCGCCCTCGAAGATGTTCCAAACTTCTCTAACAGCATCTCTAACTTCTCTAAAATTTGTCTGTTGCCTTTCTTGTTAATCTTGTGGTTTTATCATCAAACTTAAGGCATGATATTAAAAATTCAAAACGATTTTTGCACATCGTAGCTCTAAAAACAGGCGGACCAAACTGCTTAGACTATAAATCGTTGTCGGAAGATTAGAAGATCTCAAGACACCACTGAGATAAAGCAATTATTGCGAATTTCAACGAGGTTTATTGGTTGAAGCTAACGTTGTTCAGAATAAAAGCGAGCTTTTTTAATGCCTATTTCACAATTTGTGTACGTCACAACAATTTCTAATAGATCGTCTGTAAAAAAGAACTGCCACAATTTGTCTATATTCTTTTCATTTCGATCTGCTCCATTTGGTCCAGGAAGTAGTTAAACTGTGCCGAGATGTTCTGGTATTCTTAGAATGAAAAGATTTTAGATATAATTTGTGACCTTTCTTTGAATAAACTGTTGTGTTATGTTGCGGACTATCTATACTTGTAGTTGGTTCTGGACTTTCTACCGCTTCTTCGACCAAAATTTCTGAATTAAATGCATCAAATTCATCTTTCACATGATTTTCAGTTTCCTCCAAACCTTCAGTCTTGCTTTCCTCGCTCTCAATACATAGGTATGTCGCCATCGTCAGTGTCGTCCAACAGCAACTTCTCAAGTTCATCATGAGTTAAAGGCCGCTTTCGTTTATAAAGATTGTTTATGTTGGGGTTGTATTGGTATTTACCTAGTCAAATACAAAATATCTCTTAGTTTTTAGCAAAATAATAAAATAAAAAATTACCTGATATAGAATTTTTCATATAAAAATGATTGCATGTCATTCAAGATTTACGACGTCAGAACCCCATAGCGTTGCCAAAACATCAGAATAGTTAGTACGTGAGGAATTTGTAAAATGTCAACTATTTGTTAAACTATTATATTAACAGTAAATACACTTAGTTTTAAGCATCGAGTTAGAATCTATGGAGAGGGAATCACGTGACTAAAAACGACCTCACTTCGGCCATATTCTTAATATTGTTTTGAAACTATTGACAGATCGTATATGTTTGTTTACATTTGTTGTTTTTCAAATATTTTCAGTTTTATAATACTTTTATAGAAACTGTAATATATTGTGATAGTGCATAATAATGGTTTCTTGTTCTCAACGTAGTTGCTGTAGCAGAAGCAATGTTAATAAAAAAATCTTCAGGAATATCGTTCCACAGGTTAGTATACAAATATGTAAACAAAGTAATGGCCCGTACTTC